ATAGAATGTAGTAACATACAGGAAATACACAAATGGCGGAAATGATTGACATGAATCATACCTAGTACTGGGCATCACTATAAACTACATCCGGTAGTAAGGTCTCTGATCCGGAGATTGGAGGTTTTGAGGAACGTGGAACCACCTCTTAATCGTTCCCAGGTCCACCCTAACCCGGAGTAGTAACACTTGATATGGTCCCATCTATAGGAAAATAGTGAATTCCTCCACCACAAAAATAACACGATGAAACTATAGAAATATATTTTATAGTAAAAATACTAGTAATACATTTTTATATAGTTACCAAAAATATCTGTTTATAATAAAATGACTAGCGATACATTATATAGTAGAATGATAATAGAGTTTATCTGTAGTTGAAGGCACACAATTGCGTTCAAAATATTTGGGTTTTAAATATCCCTTGGATATGCTGATCTGCCGCTAAACAAAATCAACCGAATGAATCATAACAGTACCATATACTTTCAAATATTATCAAAGATAGATGTCTAAATCCAGGTATGAAATCCGTTTCTTTGGCTTGCTGATAATTTAGGTTGACAAATCCTCGCTATTCATAATATTGACACAGTATAATTTTCAATATTCCTGGCTCTTGTGTCTACTAAGAATTGAAAATATCTAAAGGCGAATTGCCCTGAAACAAATGGTTCGAACATTTCTGAGGCAATTATTTTTGTTGTAAGAGTAAAAGATCTTCATTTGGATCCTCATGCAATTGTATTCCTGTCGTTGAAGGCATACAATTGCCTTCAAAATATCTTGACATTAAATACTCCATGGATATGTTGTTCTGTCGCTAAACAAAATCAACCGAATGAATTATAACACTACCATATACTTTCAAGTATTCGATGTCTAAATCCAGGTATGAAGTCCGTTTCTTTGGGTTGCTGATAATCTGGGTTGACAAGTCCTCGCTATTTATAATATTGACACAATACAATTTTCATAATTCCTGGCCCTTGTGTCTTTACTAAGCACTGAAAATATCTAAAGGCGAATTGCCCTGGAGTACACGGTTAGCAAGCTTATCAGGCAATTATATTTGTTGTCATTCAGTGATTTATACCACAAAAATGATCACAAGGTTATCCCCCCCCGCGAAAAAAAAGAAAAAAAAGGAAATCATGATGATAAAACTAAGATGTGATAAAACTAAGATGTGATGTGATAAAACTAAGATGTGATAAAACTAAGATGTGATGTGATAAAACTAAGATGTGATAAAACTAAGATGTGATGTGATAAAACTAAGATATGATAAAACTAAGATGTGATAAAACTAAGATGTGATGTGATAAAACTAAGATGTGATGTGATAAAACTAAGAAGTGATAAAACTAAGATGTGATGTGATAAAACTAAGATGTGATAAAACTAAGATGTGATGTGATAAAACTAAGATGTGATAAAACTAAGATGTGATAGAACTAAGATGTGATAAAACTAAGATGTGATGTGATAAAACTAAGAAGTGATAAAACTAAGATGTGATGTGATAAAACTAAGATGTGATAAAACTAAGATGTGATGTGATAAAACTAAGATGTGATAAAACTAAGATGTGATAAGACTAAGATGTGATAAGACTAAGATGTGATAAGACTAAGATGTGATGTGATAAAACTAAGATGTGATAAAACTAAGATGTGATAAAACTAAGATGTGTTCGATCATGGCTTTTCAAAACAGTGTTCGTCTCCTTACTATTCCTTCCACTCCCTGTCTTGACATCGATTTGCGCATGCTCGGTTTTTCCATCTGGCCCTCTTTCTTTCGCTGTATATACTGTGAGCATCAAAATCTCCAAGCCTTCCTTCCTCATAATCTGTCATAGAAACTTCAACACTATCTTTCTGACATTAAGTATAAATATTCTTTTGGTTTGTATTTTCCCTAAAACCTCCTCGTTCCTCACATATTTCACCGACAGGATTTTCAGGGTCCCCTCTGAGGAGCCTTTTCTGTATTTCCTGAAGAGTTCTCTATTTGGAAAATGTCAAGTATCCACGGCCATCTAGGAGAATCAATATGACGCCACAGTTCAGTACTCTTTTCATAGTTTCTGCAGAGATTTTCCTGTTTCTTATTACTTTGCTTAGCTTTTGGAAGGCACCTTTTCCTTATTCCGATGTTCCTTCAGATTTCTTGACGTTTGTTATAACCGCCACTCAGTTAAATTTTTTGCTGGAAAAAAAATAATGAAAAGAAGAAAAAAAAAACGAGGAAAGACATTTAAAAATAAATAAAACAATATAGTAAAATTTGAAAGATGCAAATGATTAAGATGCCAGAGGAAAAGAAAAACAAACAAAAATGTCTCAAGGTTAAACGAGAACGGGAAAAGAAATGAAAAAATAAAAGAAAAGAAAAAAGAATGACAAAAAGAAAAGAAAGAAAGAAAACAGAGAGAGAGAGAGAGAGAGAGAGAGAGAGAGAGAGAGAGAGAGAGAGAGGGAGAGAAAGAAAA